AACAGTAGAAAACAATAAGCACAATATTTAAGTGTTGTTTCCTTTCATTTGTATTGAATATTCCTATACATGGTGGAAGACCAAGGACCTTGGTCCAAAGTAGAATAATTCCCATTATTATTTTTATAATTACCAAAATTTATTTCTGTTTGTGCATACCCTAACGGGCATGAGCATTAAGCCAATCTTTGGATAGCTAAGTAATAAAATCAATATATTATAGTGGTAACTAATCCCTCGGCTTTCATTGTTGGGAAATTTTGTTGGTGGAGTTGGGAAAATTTGGATTCCATTCCCCCCCTGGTTTTTCTTTTCGCTACGGCCCTGATAATTGGTTTTTCAAATAATAGTAAATAAACACTTGAAAATAAAAACATCATGTAGCTTCTGATCATAAAAAATGGTAATATAAAAAAATCAATGATTAATGGAGCTTTTGGAATTTTAACCTAGGTAAATTGTTGATAACAAAATGGAAAATAACAATTTTTGTATTTTTCCAACGGGAATCTATTCTGATACCTTTCAAAAATAGCTCCAAAAAAGAAGGAAGTCTAAGATTTATCTTTAAACAATTATCGCACTTGCAATGTCACTGCTTAAGTAGAACTTCTGGAACGACATTTCATACTTTAGTGATCCGAGGGCGCGAATTTGGTCGTGATTTCCAGCATAAGAAGCCAATTTATTAAAATGGACGACCCTAGGCTTTCCTCGAGGTGGCTTATGGATTCGGTAGACGAGGTCATTCATCTTTTTCATGATTTTGTACGGACCTTCCCACGACTTCCGCAACTTCGGTGATAAACCACGGCGTCGCTTAGGGTTGTACAGCCAAACTAGATCACCGATTACGAATCCTTCAGCATTCGCCTTGATGTCAGACAGACTCGTTCGTGTCTTCCATTCTCTGCCGAAGCCTGCTAACATAGTCTTCCCCCGCAGTGTCTTGTTCTGGCGGCGTCCCAAATTTCAGATCGCAAGGAAGCCGCAGCTCTCGACCTATTATAATACTGGCAGGGGTTTGGCCGGTTGACTCGTGCACAGCCGAAGTGGCGGTATCTGGTCTTATTCATTCGTTCCACCATTCCATCGGACTGTGGATGTAAGGCTGTGGTTCTGGTCTTTATAATGTCCAACAGTTTACATATTTCTTGGAACAGGTTGGACTCGAAATTTCTGCCCTGGTCCGAATGCAGCTCCAATGGGACACCGAATCGACATATATATTCCTTTACCAGGACGTCAGCGACAGTAAAGGCTTCCTGGTTGGGCAGGGCATAGGCTTCTGCTTACTTAACGAAGTATTTCATGGCTACCAGAATGTATTTGTTCCATGGTCGGACTCTGGGAACTACTATCCACGTTATACTGGCGCATTAGAGCTTTCGGTCGTATCCGAGGCCCGTTACTGGCAGCACATACAGTACATTTTCTGCACCAGTCCTTGACGTCGGATTGACAATTGACCTAGTAAAACAGTTGTCTTACTTTCTGGAGGGTCTTCGTTACTCCCAGGTTTCCTCCAGTGACTCCATCATGGATTTATTTGAGCACCTCCCGTCGTCTGTTCCTGGGTACCACTGTCTGGCGCCTTTCTTCTCCACCGTCTTCAGACTCGTAACACCCGCTTCAGAACCCGGTTTTTCAAGTTAAGGGAATTCCATTGTGCCCAGAAGGACTTAACCGCTGGCGATTAAACTGCTATCTCCTGCCACGATGGTCTTCGATTACTTATCTTCCATCCGATGACTAAACCAAGATTTGGGTATTTCTCTTAGTCTTCCTTGATCTTATTATCCTGCCAGTTGTCGTCTATAGCTGTAGTTCTACAAATAGCTGTTTCTTTCTCTTCTGCTCGTCGGCAATGTGAGAAGTTGGG